CACATATAGACTCACAGTTTAGAGTTCAGTTTTGTTCAGCTTTAACAGATGATCACTGAAGCTGCACTGTGCTTTAAACTGTGGACTTCATAGCAGGGTACATTATCATGCTACCAAACTACAAACTGTAGCGCTCCTCTCAGACTATGAAACCTGTTGTTGTTCAGTGGAAAATTAAAGCTCTGCATCTACCCCACATCACCAACCAAGTTCTTGAACAGTCCACGCCCTGACCCTGACCCTTGACTGCGTCACTGCACCTGCTGCAGCAGCACACATGAACAACAACACATTCACACACACTCATACGCACACATAACAGGTGTGGAGCAAAGAGAATTGAGTATGCTTTAAAAATCCTCCAAACTCATAAACACCTCTCTCACCACTACCAGAGCTTTGATGAGGTCAGCCCTGCCTGTAGCTGAAAGGAGAGTCGAGGAGAGACCGACCATTTTAAAAAGTTGTGGCACTTAAAACATTTTTCGGAGTTATTTAAGTCCGCTTCAAGTTATGTTAATTTATACATTCTTTCCAACATTTGCACAAGGATCTTTAGATATTTTTTTGCTATGCAAATATTGCAGGAAATGAATTCCTTTAAAAAACTTATTTGCACCCCTATAAATGCTAGATTCTAACACGATTTACTAATAAACTACACTTTTCGTCTGTTGACGGTGAAACAACACAGTCCCAAGAAAGCAGAGTCTTTCCGTTTAACTGATAATCTATGTGGTGCACGCACTACGTCTAACCTCTCAACAAACATCCTTGTGTTTGTAAGTGTCAAAAGCATCTTAGGCCATGCAAACATCTGTTGGAGTCCGTAGCCAGAGACAGAGACAGACGAGCCATTCAGGGGCACGGCGAAGTCTGGAGTCAGGAACTCCTCTGCTGCTACAAAGCTGTGTGTTCACCCACTGCATCAGTCACACTCTGCGTTTTACAGGCAGAGCAATCTGTGTGAATTAAGTCATCAAAACATAAACAGAAGCAAATGTAAAGTTAAGACAAAGACAGAGTCCCATCTTATGAGTCTACATGTTGAAAAGACATCACTTGCGGCCACAATATCTAAATTTCTCCTTCAAAATTGCCCACATCATCTACATATTTTGGCTTTGAATATTCAGTAAAAATGACTTGTTTCAGTGCAATCACTCATTGCCTGTCATGTAACAATGGGAGATGGTTATGGTTGATTTTTCCCTTCTGTAAATACCACAAACTAAAAATGTTTCTCCATCTGACAGACTCTGAAAGGCACTGAAGTTATTTTGGCTCCACTGTGAAATTACCATAGTGGGCAGGCTTGTCTGTCCTCAGTATGATCAAAACCATGACTAAACACGGTTGACTGACTGACTCAAGCATAAAATGCATATATGTTTAAATATGTCAGCTCTCCCACAAGTGACACATCACGGAAAACACGGAAATTAAAAATAATCCTCAGACAGTTGACGCTAAATGGACTTACAGCTCGCTGGTGCTGTCGCCACTTTTCAGGATTCAAACTTATCACCAAAAAACATTTTTTTTGAAGATGGAGAAACAAGCGTTGAATTGTTTTGTGTAACCGAGCTGACACGGTCGGTCAGTTTTTGTACCGCGAGATTCTTTCAGTCGTAAGCCGTTGTAGCGTGTGATGATGATTTGACAGGAGTCTGTGGGATCAAGACTGGACAGGAATAGTTAATTCTTGTGTGAATGAGATATAAAGCCGTGAGATGCCACCGGGGGCCTCATTACATGACCAACAGAGCTGGACAGAAGGTATGTTTTTATGCCATCCCATCTGTCTCTGCAGGCTAAAAGTTATGGATTGAATTGGCAGACAAAGCTTAATTACTCCTGGTGGAAATCTAAAATGTGGAACGACATATCAAGACTCTGGGTTGTACCATGGCATCAAACTTTAAAAAAAAAAAAGAGACATGTGGAGTAAAATATATTGTTAGTCTGTAAATAATTTCTGTTTGAAAGAAAACCCACCAAGCACCATGCCACCCCATCTCACCCATCCACAAACTCTTTCATTTACTCGTCTAAAAGGGTAACGATTTTTCTAATGTTCCCTAAATTCATTTAATCTGACATTCACACAGCAAATGTGAGTTTCAGCGTGTTCGCAAACACACACACCCCTGAACTGACATGGTGTTCCAAGTATAAATTCATTTTAAAGGTGTGTAAGGCGTGTGTTTAGCGAGCATACATAGCCTAATTTTTACCAAAGCTGTCCATATGAGAGGTTACGCAACTGATGGTAAACACTTCCTCCAGTGAAATGCACCACTAATTACAAGCAGAGTGTTTGACAGGTCATTAAAAAGTCATAAATTTAACTTTCCAAAAGAAAATGCAAAAGCTGGCCATTGAAATGAGCTTATTCAAGCATAATGAATTTTTCCCAATTAATCAACCATGAAACAGCCTTCTAGTGCCTGAATGCATTGATGGTTGGCCAGAAAATCTCCCAAAAGTTACAAGAAGCAGTCAGATGGCTGGGAAGAGGCCAGTCGTGCAGCTGCAAATCAAATACATTCTGCAATCCAATGAAGTGGAGAGAGAGCACTGATTAGAGGTCGGCCGTTGAAATGGACTGAAGTGCTGTTATACTTCAAAGACTCACATCCTCAGCCTTGACTATCAGATTCTTTAATGAACCAACTGTCTGTCGTGCTTCTTTATTTTGCAATGAGCAATCAAAATGTGAATTGCCCAAATACACCCAGCCGCTGCTCTTTCTCAAAGCAGCTCAGCCCAAGTCAAATGGAAGACGTAGAGAAAACAAGAAGTGGATTTTGACTGGAGTGGAGGCTCTGCTGGTTACTACACTCGCCTTTCATTCATGTTCAGTCTGCTGTGCTTAACTGTACATTCCAACAATTATACCCATGGGAGAAGTTAATGGTCTTCACAGAGATGTGAGAGCACAATGCTGCATACATCACTAGGGTATAGTTTCATGCCTGAAAGTCCACCGACAGACAGGATCTCTCTGTCTGTCGGAGGACTTTTACTTCAGCTGTCCTCCTTGTAGCCAAAGGAAAGAGCTTTTTTTTAATCTTAAATATGCAAAGACATGTTTTTGGGATTCTCAGGGAAATTGTGAACACAACACAAACATGTAATTTTTTTCAACTGAAATGGTAAACCACTGCATCCAACAGTTATAGGGCAACATCATCATTCAGTTGGAGTCGTGTTTCTGGCAGCCTGATCCATCCTGATCAACCACAACATTAAAACCGCAGACATGTGAAGTTTACAACACTAATCACATCCTGACATTCATGTGGATGTTACTTTGACCAAGCGCACCCCGCCTGTCCTATGGGCACTCTTTGATGGCAGCAGCTTCCCCAAAAGAACAATCTTCCCGGCTACACCATTAAAACTGCTCAGGAATAGCTCAAGGAACACAACAAACAGTTAAAAGCATTAACCTGGCCTCCAAACTCCCCATATCTCAATCCTATCAAACATCCATGAGATATGCCACAACAAGCTGATCCACAGAGGCCTCACCTTACAATCCACTAAAGGATCCATTGCCAGTCACATCGTAGCACACCCCTAGAGGTCCTGTGTCCATGGTCCAACGGCCAGAGCTGTTTTGTATTAGTTTTAATGTTGTGGCTGGTTGGTGTTTGGCGTATCGTATAGTGAAAATTCAGCTACATCTTTGTTCTCTGTCAACTTCTAGGGAAAATAAAAACCTTGTAGTCTATGTAATGTTACTTCAAGAACAAATGAAAAATTTGAATATTTTAGTGTGATTTGGCTTCCAAATCGACCTTTGTAAACCACTTCACTGTTGTAATCATGGTGTCTTTGTTTCAGAATCATCAAGTGGACCCTGCAACAACAGAACAAATGTGAGTAAAGCGTGCAGTTGATGGATTCATGCATTCATCCTGTACTTCTTCTAATTGCATGAGAATATAACTTAAAGTGGACATTTTAAATATCCCTTTAAATGGCACATTAGGCTGAACAGAATGTTAAAGAACACAACACATGCAATAAAAAGGGATTAGACTAGTTTTACCATCTGATACTGATATGACACACAGGTTGTGTCCTCTTGTTTGTGGGACTTAGGAGTTTTGTGAAGGAGGACGACACTTATCCAGATGGGTGTTTTGTTGGCTAATTCTAACATGTTTCAACCTCAAGATATTTAAATGTCAGTAGGGTTCTTTTATTTAGTGAGGTTTTAGCTGTTCTCCCTACACTTTTCAAACTGATCAAACTGAGGCTCAGAGGATAAATGTACACTACACTGTAAAGGCCTTTGAGGCAATTTGTTGTTTTCTAGTCTATTCCAGTGAAATTGTCTTTAAGGCGTGACAGATTTTGGGATATTTTGCTTCCATTACATATCTTCTTCTAGTCTAATAGAAAACCCCAATCCAAAATATAAATTTAGGTGTTCACTTAACAGCAATTTGTTGATTGACATTTGTAGATTTCAACTATATACAAACCTTATAGGCTGTTTTTTTTCTCCATATATTCGGCCATGATTTAAAAAACATTGTATTCATAAAAACTTATTTAAAAAATGTTTTCTTTCTGGCTGTTTACAGCATTTCTGACCTAGAACAAATATTCAAATCGTCCTTTGAGTCTAGTATGTCAATTAAATTACATTTTTTATTTTTTTTAAAAACTGGCTTTATTTATGGCCAAAAATTAATACAAATTTTAAACATGTCAGACACTTAATTTGCATATTTAAACATACATTACAGAAAATTTGCGTTTCAAAAAAATATATAATAATTTTCCTTATTGTAGGTTGTCGACTGGGGAAGTTTGATGGGCATAACTATTAGTTGAATGAGTTTAATGAAATAATTTGGTATTTCCCCTTACTCTCTTTTCATTTCTTTTATTCATGATATTATAAAAGCTAACATGTACAGTCAATATAATTTAAAAATGTTTTTAAAAAAAAACAAAAAAACATCCAGAGACTTTTTGTGTTTTATTAGAAATCTTCTGAAGACGATTGCAGCGGTGGGGCGTTCAGGGGGACTCAGACACTTTGTTTCTACAGTCACTACCATGAATCTGGTGATGATTTAATCTACAAACCGACACCTATAGTTGATAAGTGATTTGTTCGATTAAGAATAAAAAAAATCTTCGTCATATTTGCCGATGGGGACGGCTGTTTTTACTTTCGGATGGCGCTTTTCCCAGTAGCCCTGAAGGCCTCACCAGAGCCTGATCCATTGATCGCGGATCCAGGCGCCGGTCGGACTCCTCGCCGTTTCCACGCCTCCCACTTTCACCCCCATTGTGGTGAATCTCCGGCTCTCACACACACTTTGCCAGACTTCCAGGAGTTGGAGCAACTGATCGAAGAGGGAACACCGACAAGGTTTTTTTTTTTTTTCTCCTTTGAAAAAAAGAAAAAGAAAACCCCATATATCCTCTTCCCCCCGCATGGATCTGCTTTCTTCTCCGGAGGGATTTCAAGGAGCTGCGATGGTTTGCGTTGCTGGAAATTCTGGAGACTCGTACCAGAGAGAAAGGGCACTCGTCCTCTACGCTGAAAAGTTGTAAAAAGTAGTTTCCCCTTGAAGTTTTTTTTCCCCTTGTTGTTTTCTTTTCCCCCCCCCGTCACCAGCTTCAGACTCGGGTGTTCCTCCAGCCCCCCAACCGGCCATCATGGCGAGGCGGACGGCGGACGAACCTCTGCTTTTCACGCCGAATACGCGCGCCGCTTTCCGGGATAAACACCTTCGCTTTGGCGGGGGCTTGTTGGCTTTTTCGTGGAGCTTCGTGTTCATGTGCTCGGCTCTCTCTTGTGGATATTGCGGAGCCGAGACGGAGTTTTCCATCCTGGAAGAGGCGCAAGTTTTGGCCGAGCAGATGAAAAAGCTGTCCTCTCGGGAGCTGGGAGTCTTCACTATGCAGGTAAATTAAAAGAAAAAAAAAAAAGTCTTTAATCCTGAAGTGTTATTTTATTTGTGTTGCGTAAAATGGAGTTGGAGCGGCTTTAAAAGCTCATTCCTGCCTCGTAAAATGATGATAAAATAATGCATTAATCTCAGATAGAAACTTTGAAATGTTACGACACTTGAAGCCGTTTTTCAGCTTTGAAGTTTGAACACGCTGCAGGTTTGTTTTTGTGATCTGGCGTTTCACCTTCATTACCTGCTAGTCTCTTAATTTGACAAAAGATGGTGAATATTTCAACACGTTTAGTGTGTGTGTGTGTGCCCTGAAAAAAAGCTGGATAAACTGTCTCCTTCACTGATGATCAGCAGGCAGAAGGTCCTCATGAGTAACACACATGCAACTAAATTGTGTGTCTTCAGGTGATTTGTTTCCACAGATGAGTCCATGTCACTGGTGTGTCTTCAAGCCACCAAGAATAGTAGCAGAAAGGCCCACCTGAAAATAATGAGGAACAGCTGATTGAATGGAGGCAATCATGGCTGCAACTGTTGAGTAATCTCCATGATGATCTGATAGATTGATTAATCATTTAGCTCTCCTTATGCTGTATTGACAGTGTCTTTTTCTATCAGGGTCGTGTCATTTCATTGCAGCCTTCCACTGCGGTGTGATGACGAGAAAGCTGCTCATCCTAACGAAACACCACAAAATAGTGAAACATGTCCGTCCACATGTTCCCAGAGCTCAAGGTCACGTCGTCAGACGGCGTGAAAGGCAGCAAATCTTTAGATCTGACAAGTTTAACATTGTTTTCTGTTTGTCGGCTAATCAAGGAATAAATTCATCCTTTCAGATTGAGCTGTACGGTTTTTGGGTTTTATCAGAAGTGAGGTGGTTCATGTTTCCTATTTAAGAAATCACACCCATTTTTCAACAAAAAACAACAACAAACAAACTAGAGCTGCAAATATTAATTGATGGATTTGATTTATTGTCTGTGACTTCTTAAAGCAACTACGACAATTAAATGAACAGGTTTTTGATTTGACAACCAGTGAGTCAAACAGAGGTGAAACGAGTTGATTCAAAGATGTCGATGGACGTGAGAGAATTCAGTTTTAAATTGTAACAGCATTAAATTTAAGTCATGTTTGTGCAAATATATCAAACATTTCCTCGATTCATCTCCTAAATTGGCGGCATTTGGTCCGATGTGATGCAGATCCGAGTGTTTTTGGACTTTGACGATGTCACCTTGGGTTTGATCTGATAGCGATGTGCATTTTATTTTGTTGTTTAGTGAAATTTTATAGCCCAGACGAAACAATCTTTTGATTCAGGAAATAAAAGAAAGATTCATCGATGATTAACCAAAGTGTTGCTGCTTCAACTGGATGCAAACACTCTATATGAACATCCCTGCTCTGCCATGTCCATGCGTGCAGAGCTGCATTGAGCCACCAAATGGCAGGAGGTGCAGGGTGCAGCGGTGGCGGTGCTGGGGGTGTGAGGGGGGTGTTTAGCACTTCTGAGGCAGAGGAGCTCACAGGCCCTGAACACAGAGGCGAGGCGGCGGGGGGGCCCCGGCCCCAAATGGTGTTTCATCTTCTCCGCTTCCACACTGAGCCGCCTTCATCCCGGCTCTGGGAGTCGGCTTTGAGGGCTCCCTCTGATCCCACCGGATCCCGCCGTTGTCACTGCTCATCCCTCCCCGAGCTCCAGTTTGCTCTCTCGCTGTCTCATTTCTCCTTCTTTTCATCATTTTCTCTGCAATTTCTGTGTTTTTTCTCCACTCTGTATTGTTTTTCTCTGCATTATTCTCATTTTCTGCTCCTCTCGGTGTAAATACTTTGAATTAATGACTGTTTTTCTCTCAAACGAGAGTAAAACGGTTCCATCAACTACAAAGATGTCAATAATGGGAAATCATTTTGGGGTTTTTTTCAGTCTCACTTAAATTTTTATGAGTAATTTTGAATTCATGCAGCAGGATACAAAACGCAGCGTTCAGCATCATCCCCCTGTATCATGGGAAACCCGTTCAGAGCTGTCATGTTGTTGAACAAGCTGTGAAAATCTGACTTGGCATGAAGCTCGTGTGAGTGTGATTGAAGCGCTACATTTCATGGATTTGTCCGAGTGGCTTTTCGTAAATGCAAGAGATGTGCATCCAGTAAAAACACTCTGCATCTGCCTGTGAAAACAAACTGCAGGAATCTGTCTGCCATGCTGGCTGTGTGGACATCTGCTCTGGTGACTTTCAATCTGCAGGTGTGTCAGCTGAAGTGGATCTTTTTTTTTTTTTTTTCGTCCAAGTTTTTATCCAAACAGCATCGCCGGCTTTGATTCCAATTCCAAATTTCTTGAGTCGCAGCTGGCATTCATTATCTCCGAGAGGAGTTTTCTTTTGTGGGCACGGAGGCGTCAACGCGCAGAGTCCGCGCGCTACTATTTCAGACGAGATCTGAGGGGTTTTGTTATCAAGCAAACATCCCGGCATCTTCGTTTTAAAATATGTAATTCTACCCCCTCTCCACTCCACCCCTCATTCTCTGGCTGATGTGTAATTTGAGGCTCGCCTCGTCGCTGCTCCTGAGTCACTGGGTCAACCTCGTTCAATCTGTCACTGAGGTGCTCGATTATCAAAGGGACGGGAGGGCGTTCAGACGACTCTTTAAGTGGATCTCCAAGGTTGTGTTTTCATACTTGGGTTAGAAAAGACCTTCTCATACAACAGGGTTCAATCTAATTACCGATAATCTGGAGAAGCGGGTTCATAACACAGCAGCCTGGGCAGAGCGTCAGCGTTCGCACTTGAGAGCTGATTAATGGAACAACACAAAATTCACTGGAAACTATTTTGATGTTTGATTGGAGCCGTTTTCAAGCCAAAAATATCATTCAAAACAAGATTTTTGTGTTCTGGGCTGTTGGTCAGAGTGAAACCAAGAATATAAATATGTCTCCTCAAGCTCTTAGAAATCATTGTTACATATGAGACTAATCAGTTTAATAGGAAAATAATTTGCACATTAATTGCAGCTTTAGTTTTGAGGTGTTTTTTTTTTTTTGTGGCCTTTATATATAGTGTTGTGTTTTATCTCCCCTCCAGCACAATTCGTCCAACTGTTTAGTAAAACAGCGATTTGCATACTTTTAAATAATTTACGAGGGACATTTTCTTCGTGCGTAATGTGTTATTTATTTGAAATGGTCTGATTTTGGTTTTGGTTGAGCTGTTTTTTTGGAACATTGATTTGTATCTTGCATTGCAGGTTTACAAATCAGATACCTAAGGACAATAGTTCACTGAAAGAAATGATTTGAAACCATTCTGAATAATTAATGACGCAGATTTCTACTGTGGTTATTGCGAAAGGAGATTTCTTTTCTAAGTGGCATTTGGATCTGAATATTTAAATATGAATTTACTCCCGTTTCCATTTGCCCATTTCTTATGACGCAGTTCTGGTTCTACTCTCGTCATCCAGAGCCGTCACCAAGCTCCATGTTTCCACCCACAGTCATAACAACACCAGTTTGATCACTGTTAAGCTTTAACTTAAGGACATGAAGTAAATGTCTCCAAAGCCAAACAGAGAGCCCTCGTATGTTAAAGCTCCTGTTGCTTCTACTCAGAGGGTATTTACGCCCTATTCCCTGATTATTTCTAAAGGACTGTGTTAGCTTTAAGGGCCTCGGTCCACAGAGGAGTGTGGTTTGTCGTTGAGGCCGGCCCGTCCAGTACCCCCGGCCCCCTAATTGAATATTGATAGTCATTTGAGGGCGATGGAGCTTTGTGTAGGAAAAGAGAAAAATTGGGTTAGCTCTGGCGCTGCGTTCAGCTCGTGATTTTTCTGGTTTGGGTTTGATCCAACGGCAACAGAGCCTAGATTGATGCTTTGTTGTTTTCTCGAACTTGGACGAGGCTAGTTTGACTACATCCCCCCCACGTCTCTTTGTTTCCACCTGCCTTTATTTTAATCGTCTCATTGTCATTCCTTCACTTTATTGGCCTTCAGCTGCGTGTACGAGTGTTTCTCCTCTTTTCCCCTCACTCTGTATTGAATCAGTTGCAGAGACGGGGAGGAGGAGGGTTTGAGGATATACAGCAGGACATCAGAATTCCTGCTAGGCTCTCTGCAGTACAGCTTCAAAGGCTTTTTTTTTTTTTGCCTCTTACTGCATTGCTTGCATGGCTGTGTGCTCAGTCAAGGTTACTATGAGCCTCGCAGGCCGCTGCTTCTTCTGGGACTATTACTGTTTCTCATCCGGTCTTTCTTTTGACTTTGACTCTTCTCTTGCGTGTCCACGTCCAAGCATATCGTTCAGTTAATGCCGTGATCAGAACGTATTTACGCGCCACTATACTTCCACTCTGGCCTTGTAGTGTTTAACCGCAGTCGAATACGTTATAGTTGATATAACCTGGATTCTATGAAAGGAGAGGACACGTCTTACATTTTCCTTTTACAATAGCGCTCATCCAAAGGGCAAATGAACACTTAGGTGTCAGATATATCTCTAAGCACATTCCTGCACTTGGCTTTTTGTGGTTATAATGGCGCTCTTTTTTTTTTTTGTTTCCCAGTCCTCAGGGCACAAAGGTTACATAACATGACCAGCTTTTCTCTGTCACACAGTACACTGTTGCAAATGAAAGATGGAGACGTGACATGGAGGAGGATGTTCCCCGTTTTTAGCGTGTTATTAAAGCATTTTTTAAACAGAAACTGTATGTCACATGGCGTAAGATGTCACACACTGACACTGTCGAACTGTTCTTCAACGTCGTCCTTGTTAATCCATCTAAACCCTGGTTTCCAGCCAGGAAAAAATGATAGAATCCAGATCTTTTATAATTCACTGAGCTCATTAGTAAGACTGAACAATGAATGACTTTGAAATCGAAACTGCAGCGAAATCAGCAAATCGCAAAGGGCGCAATGTTGCCTGTATGTCATGTAGCGCGAGCGTCCCGGGGTTTTAAATGTCGTGTTAGAGGTTTTACGACT